CCACCAAACCCCGACCCCCTGCGTGCCTGCCTGCCTTTGCAGCTTCGTGTGCCCCGAGTGGTGGGCATGCTGGCTGCGGGCCTGCTGCTGGCCAACGTGCCGGGGGAGGTGGTCGCCGCGTTCCCCAAGAGGTGGGGCGTGCAAATGCGGGCGGCGGCGCTGGCCACCATCTTCCTGCGGTGCGGCCTGGAGCTGGAGTTTGAGGTGGGCTGCATGTGCGCATCGACTCTTTTATATGAGTGTTATATGTGTGTGTGTGTATGTGTATGTGTGTGAGTGCGTGCGTGCGTGCGTGCGTGCGTGCGTGTGTGCGTGCGTGTGTGTGTGTGTGTGTGCGTGCGTGTGTGTGTGTGTGCATGCGTGCATGCGTGCGTGCGCGCGCGGCGCGCGCACAGACGTGCGTGAGGAGGGAGCTGGTGGGTCCGCGTGTTGAATTGCTGGTCGCAGCAATCTCGATTGTGTCTGTTGTAACGGTGCCGAGTGAGGGGTCTCCGTTTCAAGCCGCTGCATCGAGTGAACCAGCACCCCCTCTCCTCTGCAACCCCAAGACATAACCAACCCCCTGCAACTCCCCAAATTGACTACCCACTGCGAAGACCATGAACCTGTACAAGTGGCCAGCCCTCCGCCTCGCCTTTGTCCCTGGTGTCATCGAGGCAGTCTTTGACGCCGGCCTCGCCACGGCGCTATTTGGCATGCCCTACACCCTGGCGCTGGCGATGGGCTTCATCCTCAAGGCCGTCGGCCCCGGGCTGGTGGTGCCCGCCATGTTTGTGCTGCAAAAGGAGGGGTGGGGCGCCGACAAGGGTGGGTCTGGATTGAACCGGGCGTGCGCGCACATACGTGTCTCCCCTGAGTGGCTACCGTTGGCTCACCGTGAAACTCGTGGCGCTTGCCGCTTATCATGCGGCCTGCCAGCTGCCAACACCACCCTCCCAACCGACATCATGGGACCCTCTGCACGCCACACACATATGCACACACACAATCTTCCACATGTGCGCACTCTGCAAGGTTTACTCAAACACACATATTGCACCTGACCCCAGGCGTCCCCTCGACTGTGGTCATTGCGGCATCATTTGATGACATCATCGCCATTACAGGCTTCTCAATATTCATCAACATCGCGATCGCCGGTGGCCAGGACGCCGCTTGGCAGATTGCCAGCGGACCGCTGCAGGTCGGCCGATGGGATCTGCAAGCCTTGGGCCAGCGGTTGTGCAAGCTTCCAGAGACTGCAATCCAGCAACGGCTGCAGACCTTTTGGCTGGCTTGTTTAAGCTTCCATGCGCTGGGGGGGGTGAAGCGCATAATCTGAACTTACTCCCATCCCAGCCTTTTGCACTTGCTGGGATCACGCTGCTGCCCTCTGAACGGCCAGGCTGTATAGCTCCTCCTTCCCCCCAACTGCTTGTCGGCCCCCGCCTCACCAAGCGAGTCTTTGCAGCCAGACTCAACTTGAACCCCCGCATGCTGCACACCGATGCAAGGTGGTTTTTGGCATCTTGGCCGGGCTGCTGGCGGGCGGCCTGCTGGGCTGCACGCGGCTGCTGAACAACAAGTACAAGCGCTTGGGCGGCATATACGGCGCGGGTGCGTGCTTGGGCGCCGTTTCGATTTCGGGCGCGCAGTCCGGGTGATATTCTGGAAGTCAACTTCGAGGGGAAGGAGATGCATATGGGTAGGGTTGCAGCACGTCAAAAGCCAGTTGCAGTGCTATTGCTGCCAATTCTGGCTGTATTGGTTTGCTTGCTGGAAAACAAGCATAAGGCCCTGGAAGTCTACTTGCAAATGAGCCTCTTGCCCGCATTGCTGGCCACGCACCACTCACTCCCACAGAATGCACCACGTTCTTCACGCCTCCGCACCATGTGATTCGCCCACGTGTCCCCCCCTCCACCCAGCTTTGTTGATCATGTTTTTCTTGGAGCACTTTGACATGCTGTCAGGGGGCGCTCTGGGGTCACTGTGCGTGGGCCTGGTGACCTGCTACATGTGGGAGAGGGGCGCCCCCAGGGCCGCTTCCATGGGACCCAGTGACACATACGCTCCAGACATTGAGCGGGTCATGGCCAAGGTGGGCGTGGAGGTTGCTGTGCCTATATATGTGGCTTGATCTCCAGGGTGGGATCATACGTCTCAAGTTCAGCATCGACGGCCGGCTATTCCTTTGTGACATGCATGTGGCCCACTTGTGTATATTTGGGAATGCACAAAAACATGCACACACACCAACGCATATCATTATCAGGTGTGGAACTGGGTGATGGAGCCTGTGCTGTTTGGCACCATCGGCACCTCCATCGTCTTCTCCAAACTGGAGCCGTCCACCATATCAAAGTCCGTCTGCATCGTGCTGGCTGGTGAGCAGCCAGCAGCCCTCACATGCACAAATGTCACAAATTGCTGATGTGACGACTGCGCCGGTAGTATCAAACACGTCTACTTTGCACACACCCTGTGGAAACCTGCCTGGATTGGACAATTATCTGGTTGGGAAGAATGCTTCACCATGTGCAAAAATCAGCCGTCTCGCCCTGGAAATGCCCTGCCGCGCACTGAAAGCCCTGGACTGCCCTTTATCTGATCATGTGGGGCGTTGACGCCACTCCCAGGCGTTACGCTGCGCATCTGCTGCACGTTCCTGGTGATGTTTGACGCCAAGTACACCTGGAGGGAGAGGGCCTTTTATGCTATGGCATGGACGCCCAAGGCCACAGTGCAGGCGCGCACCAGTGCACGCACGCGCACACGCGCAGCATTCATCGCCCCGCTGTACGGCGCGGGCACTCGTCCCACCCTGCGGCTGCCTCCCGCCGGGCCATGAGGCGGGCGCTCGTGCCCGCGTGTATGTGCATCCGATCTCACATATGCAAAAAGATTTGAAACAGTTTCACCTCAACTGGGTCCTGGAGCCCAATTGGGCGCCTGTCAATCAATTTGCGAAATTTGCCTGTCCCTCTGGCCCCTTCACCCTCCGTGTACCTTCCCCTTCCACCCCCCTGACACCTTCCCCCTTCGAACACATGCACGCACCCCCCGCACCCCAGGCCTCCCTGTCCGCGGTGCCCCTGGCGATGATCCAGGCGCTCACCGCCGGCCGCCCCGACCACGACGTCTGGCTGAGGTGGGGCCAGGAGATCCTCACCACCGGTGTGTTTGCCATCATCATCTGCGGCACGCTGGGCACGCTGATGGTCTTCGTGATGGCACCCATACTGCTCAACAAGGAGGAGGTGGGCGGGCAAAGCGCAAGCAGGCGCTGTGGGCTGGCTGGGCCTGGGAAAAGGGGGCTGAAGACAGAAATACGTGGCAGGCCTGGGACAACCGGGCCGGGGCACAAACAGGACCTCAGGAATTTGGGCGCTGCAGCGGGGCCGGGGGTTGTCCCGGCATTGTCCGCCGCGTCAGGCTGCGGTGGCGGGCGCAGGCAGGCCGGCCACGGCCATGCTGGTGGCAGACCAGTGCCTATTTGTCCCCTTCTGCCGGTGCCATGCAATGTCTCTTCAGGCCCCTTTGCCTCAGAACGGCACCTGCCTACGCACGTCACGCGCGTGTTGCTGCACTATGGCCGACTTGCTCTCCTGCAGCATCTACCACCCCTGCCGCCTGTGAATGATTGCCCTGACAGGCCGGCCGGTCCTGCGCTGGGATGGCCGTGTTTCGACCATCCCTGTGCGCGTTACACCCTAAACAAGCGGCCCTCATCACTCCCATTCATCTCCTCGTCAACATCACACGCCGCCGCCGCACGCACACCCACACGTGCATGGATTTGCAGGCTCCGCCGCCGGTCGGGGGCGGCCGCAGCCTGGCGCGCATCACGGCGAAGGCACAGTCGTTTGCAGGGCGCGGGGCACAGTCGTTCGCGGGGCGCGGGGCGCTGTCTGTCATGGGGCGAGGGGCGCTGTCTGTTGTGGGGCGCCGCCAGCATGGGCCGTCGAGGATCAGCCTGGACGGCGGCCTGGGGATGACGCGAGCCGCGACTCAGGGCACTTATCATGAAAGGTGAGCTTTTGGTTTGCGGAGTGCAGACATGACACAGGGAGTGCGGCTGGGGGTTGTCGGCTACATTCCAGGCAGGCGGCCGCCAGAAGTTGAGTGGACAGACAAACGGGCCGCGCACGGCTCCATCTGTCAACTCGAAAGCGTTGCCTGCAGCGCCTCCCCCCATCCGTCGCCCAAGGTCGCTGCTCCCAATCACTCATGCCTCGCAATCCCTTCCCCCCATCCTCCCCCCAAAGCCCGTCGCTGAGCCTCGACGACCTGCACAGCCTGAGGGACGTCACCCTGATTGAGGATTACTTCGACGCCATCGAGCAGCTGCTGGAGCTGGCGCGCGCCACGGCGCACCTGCTGCCGCCGGACGACCAGAGGGCGGCGCTTGAGCTGGCGGGCGGCATAGCTGACCTGCAGGAGGTGGGCTGGCTTTTGGGGGGGGGGGTGTCAGTATGAGACCAGGGTGTATTGTGGAGCGAGCGAGCGTGCGCGTGTGCGCGCGTGCGTGGGTGCACGTGCGGGCAAAATGCGCCGTCGCTGTGCCGCAAGAGAGTCTAGACGCTCTCCCTCTCCTCTCGACCTGCAAACACCTGCCACAACGCTCGTATCCGCCCCAATCCTGCGCCGCTCCACCCTGCAGCGCATCGATCGCGAGGTCGGCCCCCGGGAGATGACAGTCAGACAGGTGGGCTGGGCGCACATAGAGGCGCAACCTTGGCTTGGGGATGGCTGCGGCTGCGGGTGCCGCCGGCTCAAACCCGTGTGCGATGCCTGTGCATGCACGCATGCTCGCATGCAGCTCAAAGGCCCCTGCCTGCTTGCCTGCCATGCGGATGCAGTGCTGCTCGGCCCCTGCATGCTTGCGCCGCCGTCGCGGGGAGGCGTCCTGCCCTTGCATTGCACGATCCTGCAGGCCGGTGCTTCGCCGGTCACAAAGCACCTCGTTGCACCCAGACTCTTGGCTCACTGCCACCACCATCAAACCCTGTTCCAAACCACCAGATGCTGGCAAGCGCTGCGCTGCGCTCCCGCCAGCCCGGACTGGGCGATGGCCAGCTGCCAACCAACCAGCTGCCCGCCATCCCGGCCTCGCCGCGCGTTGGCGGCAAAGACAGCGACTGCGGGGTCGACGGCTGCGCAGGCGGCGTCGACGGCGCGGGCGCGGTGATCACCCTGAGGGATGGCACTGCCGTCAAAGAGAGCGCGGCGCTGCAGCTGCGGCAGGGGGCCGCCGTCTCCGATGACGATCGGGGCGCGGCCGGCAGCGACGGCGGCTCGCAGATCCCTGCATACCGCGCGGGGGGTGGTGGCAGTGGCAGCGTGGGCGCTGTTGGCGCTGGCGTGGCACCTAGCGCACGGGGGGTGCACAGGGATGGCCTGGAGGCCAGTGTGCCAAGGGGTGATGCGGGTGATGGAAGCGCAGGCGTGCCGGTGCAACCGACGTCGCCCGCCGCCACTGCCAGCGCCGGGGCCTGCAGTACGGGAGCCGCCTGCAGCAGTGCAGGTGGTGCAGCTTGATGCAACTCAATGTTGGGTCCCGGCAGATGGCTGCAGGACACCGGATCAGATGTCGCAGGTTGCTTGCTTGACCAATTTTTTTATTGGGGGCTGTATGGGCCTAACTGGAGTGCGAGGTTCGCAGGGAGTCTGTGCACGTGCGACTCATCCACGGCCGTAGCGCGCCGCCGGTTGGCAACGGGCACTCCTGCTGATGCTGTGCCATCTGCATCTTCTCACATGGCCAATTTACGCACCTGTGTAGCGGTGTCATGCAACGCGTGCTTGTATGTTACGGCTCCTGATCTTTGCCATATCACTGCAAGATTACTATCCTCAGCAGAACCAACCCAGGCGAACATGCAGGCCACACGGCGCCGCGTTTGCAACCCAAAAGCAAACACGCGAGCGCTACCTTGCCCTTCCACCAGGAAGTCATTGACTCGTTTCGTGCACAATCATTCGCCTTACGATATGAGCGTGCCATGCATGACTCACAGACGCGCGTGCACCATGTGCGTTTGTTTTGCACTGGAGGGTTTGTTTCAGGCTGGCTCATGCTCCCAGGCATGTCATCATTTACTCAGGTAACACCCTCAACCTCTGTAGGATTTGCTACGGAAGGCGAGTAGGCCGTAGTTGGCTTGGCCTACCGCGGGCTGTTAGGCTGGGCGTACCCACCTACAACCCTACAGTCCAGCAGCCTCAGCCGCCGGCAAACACTCAACTCACCACTCGTGGCGTTTGCTGTTCAAAAAGCACGGGGCAGCGGCCAAGCGTGAGAGTCTTGGTGCGGGCGCGTTGGTGATTTGAGCAACGCATGCACCTCATGAAGACTGCCGAACAACCATTTCACATCTGCCTGCTTGGCAGCCATGTTCTGGGTACCACAGCGATATTAAACTGTGTTTTTAGGAGCATTTCGTTGACGTTCACAGCAGCAACGATGTCAGCTGCGTCACTTGCTCATGCCCACTGGCGCTGCGCTGCCACGGATAGATGCATCTGCACAACGCCAGCCAATGTACGGATGCATGCTGCCCAGTCCCAAGAATTCTACAGAATTTCAAGAGAAGTGCGTGCATGCATCTGTTTGCAGTTGCCTGCGGTGTCATCAGTGATGTTTGCGCCACATGGTCAAAGCAAATTATGGATGAGTCATGACTCACGCTCCTGTTGTCACAGAGTTCCGCAGTACGTTTTTAGCTGATTGTAGCCGTGGACATCGACGCGCTGATCTGCCATAGATCGCGCCGCATTGATGCGATCACAGACTTGCATTTTACAAAGCAGTATCCATGTGCGGCATATTGCTCATAGCTAATACAGTATATGATCATCGTCCGGACGTTACAGAACTCCCTTGCTGCAACAGCAACTGCATCGCCGCCGAGTGCAGCTGTGAGAAGCTTGCAAATGCCGCTGGAGACGCTGCGCAAGTGCCAGAGCCCTTCATCCGAGGCCTTACGCGCAGGGGCCCCGATCATTTGGGCGCTCGCCACGTCCATGTGCACGGCTGCGGCGATAGCTGCGGCCGTGGCCGTGCCTGCCGCCTGCTGCTCGCAGCGTCCCTGATGCAGCTGCGCGGCGCATGCCGCGTCCGACCGCCCTTGTCAGCTCCCAGCGGCAGCGTCCTGTGCTTCAACGGGGAGCTATTTGGAGGCCTGGAGGTGCCGCCATGCGCTAATGATGGGCAGCAGCTGCTCAGCGCCTTGGAGGCCTCGGCAACCGCAGGCGAGGGGGGAGGGTAACAGAGCCATACAGAGGAATTGAATGAGACATGACACCCATGATTTGGTTTCGTCCGCCTTTGCAGCTTGCAAGCTTGACAGCAAGCCGCCTGCATGCGGAGAGCATGTCATCCGCGCCTGTCCGCATGCGCGGTTACTCCTGGGGGAGGCGGGGACGGGGGTTGCATATCCATGGGGCCAGGCGGCGTACCTCGACCGGCTACGCTGGACCCTGCCCCGCCATGCTCATGCCCGCCTATTCTGCACGCTGCAGACGTGCCCGCCCTGCTGAGCACCCTGCGAGGCCCCTGGGCCCTGCTTTACTGGCGGGCTGTGGACAGCGTGCTGTGGTTTGGGCGCGACTGGCTGGGTGCGTGGCCGTGGGGCGGCAGAGTTTCGGCCCGCAACGCAAGGCGCGTGGCGGACCGACCCTCCAGAAGGACGACGCGGCGTGCTGCGGCCACATGGCGATGCGTGCCGCATGGTGATGCCCGCCGCGCAGCGCCAGCATGCAGGCGCTGTGCTCCTCACCGTCACTCCCGCTCACGCTGCAACCCCCGTCCTTCCTGCAACTTGTACTTGCTTCCAGGCAAGCGCAGCCTGCTGATGCACCTGCCGACTGCGGCAGAGCCCCGCTTTGTCCTGTCCTCCTCGGCCCCGCTGCCTCCCAGCGGCAACGGCAGCGGCAGCGACTGTGGCGGCGGTAGCGAGCCCGGCGGCGGCGGCGGTGGTGGCGGTGCTGCCTCCCGGCTGCCTTTCGAGTGGCGTGAGCTGGAGCCCGGCATATACAGCCTCTCGGCCGCGGACCTGTTGGAGTGCCTCGCGC